TTTTTCAAATAAAAATCTCTTTTTTACTGTAAAATATTAAGCAAATTTTTTTTGAAAATGATGATGCGTTTAAATCGAATTTCGATCGAGTCATTTTCGAGGTATTGAACTTTATGTATTATACAGACTAATAGACTATTATTATATAATCCTTAATAATGGATTAACATAAAATGGAAAATGTATGGTAAATTTAGTCCAGCACTCAAACAATTAATACAAATTACAAAATATTAATAGATTAAAATCAATTATTTTCAAAGCATCATAACCCATATTATCCTTATAGTTAATACAATTTAAATCCTCAGAAAAGCTATCCGTTCGAATTTCGATTTAGATGCATCAACATTTTCAAAAACATCGCCAGCTATAAATCATCTGAAAATCTAACAATTAACTGTAAAAAGGATGGTTTTTATGTCGAAAAAAAAGTTTGTATCACCACAGGAAACTCTTAAAACGACAAAAAATCAAAGCATATGTTTGAAAATATAGCCACTAAGTAATCATACTTCGAATTCCTAAGATTAATTTTTGAATAGGTACCTACCTAGTTAAAATAAAAAAAACTATGTGTGCATGCTTGGTATACGAGAATCACCACATTATGTGTCTATTTTATATCCTTACGGAATAATTTGTATAATAATTCAATGATATGTACTATTCATAATAATAAATTTGATCCGTCAAAAAAAAATTAAATTAGAATGGAATAAAAATTTAATAGAAAATCGGATCATTTTATTTCATTTGATATTTATCGATTATTTTTGGTTGCAAACTAATTTTTTTTCGCTTCTCCTTCGCATCACGATTTACAATATAATATGCGCCGCGAAAATCGCTTAGGTATATCGCTCAGGTAGGCGTATTCAGCAACAGTGAAACGTTATAGTTTTATTCTGTTTTTATATTCGGTTACGCACTATAACGAAAAATATGATACGTATTATATTATTATCCGACTTAACATCGGTGTCCCCCATAAAAATCCGGATTAAATTGTAGTGTTTCTGTAGTATAAAAACAGACGGCGAATTGATAATAATAATACATTTTGTTGGTTCTTCGTTTGTTTTTTCGTGTTCTGTCATTCTATGAGAATTGTTTTAAAAACATGTATGTTTAGAGCATAAAAAAATTCAGTCAACTTTTTGAAAGTTTAGTTTAATATGATTTTTTTCGATTTAAAAACAATAAAAACTTTTTACGATGTAGGTAGTGATTATATGGGGATGTTTTTCATCAAACATTTAATTAAACATTTTATCTGTTTTTTTGAAATATGTATCTCGTCTAAACCTCTAAATTATTTCATTTTTATCGTGTTTTTTTTTTATCGAACATTATATTACAATTTACAACCATTTTGTTTACCTTTATTATATATATAAACCTAACCCTAAAAATGTATTTTTTTTTAATTTAAAGCTGTGTATAATACAATATACAAACTGTCCGCGTTTATTTTAAGTTAAGTACGTACTTAACAGTAGTTATATTATACAGTAGTTACAATATTTCAATCGAATGTTGTTATTATACAAAATATTGATCGACCATCCAAAATAATGACTGATGATAACTTTGTGAGCCAAAAATCTATATCAGTTTATATATATATAGGGGTATTATGAAGTTATTTTACTTACGATATAAATTCTAATAAAGTCCATTATATTTGTTAAATGTATTACTCCTTGGTCTTACTCGTGTGCGGAGGTGTATATTATTAAAAATTCAAACATTTCCACCGTTTTTGTTGTTTTGTTTTAAAAACAAATATAGGTTTAACCGATACACGAACAATACACAAATACGATATTATGTGTGATGACGTATTATATAGTAAGTACACTACGATTTTGTCATAAACTTTTAGTATAGTTTTGTTAAGTTTGCTATATAATATACTGTCTCGCGTTCGTTACCACATATATATTTTTATCGTGCAGACGGTATACATGTATATATGTATTTTATATTATTGTTGTAACTGTTTTCTTTGCGTTGTTGTCTAAACTCGATATTTATCATTTATGTGTTTAACGGTGTGTGTACAACTAATTTTTTTTATGGAGCTCATACAATATATAATGGGTTTTAATTGATATCCACGTGTTTGACATAGTGACATATAATACCTTGTATTAAAATAATGTGCGATAAAATTGTCGTGTCGATTTATTTTTAAGCATATTCAATTGATTTTATATATCATCATACATGCATCACGCTCAGAGCGGTTCTAATAGCAGTTCAATTAATTATAGCATCGCATAACTAAATAGTAAAAATTAAAATCTCTTTATTTTATTATGTATATTATATAAATAAAAACTTTTCCATATAATGTCCCATATTATAAGTACTTAAGTTGTATCCTGCTGTCTGCAATGATCAAACTTGAAATTTATCGTCTACGTTTTAGTCGGATAATTGTGCGTATGTAATGCGTCTTAACTCTCAATTATTAATTATTATTATCGTATTTGGCTGTTTCGTATCGTAATAAACCAGTTTGGTATTGTAAATATTGTAATAGATACCTACCTAAGTACCTCACCTTACACCAACACCGCGATTTCTATGCACCGACAATATATTATTGTCTACACGTCGCTTACCTCTGTCGGATGTGTTTGTTTGAATGTTTGAATTTCGGTTCAAATATAATAATTTGTCAGGGCGTTCATAAAACACCCATAATTATATTTTACTCATGAAGTCTCGTTTATGGAATATTTCATTATTAATTATTGTTACACCCCGAATTCTGAACCCGGAACCTTTCGCGTTAATACACGCTAAATAATTTATTGCTTAATTACACGAAAATCATTGATTATTAATAAAATTTGGCATTTGCGTAAACGCACTTCGTAACATATGCATAATAATATGCTGGCAAATAATTTAATAATAAGTGTCGGCCGACTGTGAAAATGTATTTTTAATTTTTTAACCATACATTACGATTACATTACATTATTCGTTTCCTAAAAATAAATGAACGATTTTCCTCAATTTCACATTGAGAGGACGCCATACCCGCATGCGTTGTATCCGTCTTACAAATGCGTATATAACATTGCAAATTTTGCGTTCTGAATAATTAATTTAACTCTGTTGTGTTTAATTTTAGAGTGAATTTATGTATCACAACATTTAAAGTAAGAATATTGTCGACGATATAGGTGTTTTTTCTGTATTTTACTTTTAAAGAAAGTTCTGAGCATTTAAAAAAAGTAAACTATTTGTGTATTGCTCATAACTCACTTTATCAAAAAAAAACCTAGGTAATCTATTAGATAATATTCTAACTTTTAAAGTTAGTAATAATAGGTCAATTCACTCTAAAATTAAACACAACAGAGTTAAATTAATTATTCAGACCGTACAATTTGTTATGTTATGCATTTGTAAAACGGAGACAACGCACGGCGTCCTCTTAACATTATACATTTCAATCACTTTATTATTGTTTATATATCAATTTTGAACAGTTTTTGAGTACTTTGGAATTTTCGATAAACTACAATAAAAACAGAAGTGGTTCACAAACACTAAAACGAATGCAAAAGATAATAATATTATAATGGTTTAAAATCATCGAAAACTTTTCTATTAACAAAAAAGTGTTTATGAACGTTTAAATTGATTTCAGTTGACCGTTCCGCGCAATAATAATTAAAATAAACCACTACATCGAATAAACATAATGATATTAGCTATGGATGATTACAATTTGAACAATTGGAGAGTATAATACTCAAGGCGTTATTGTTAGCGATATTTATCAATTAATAAAAGCACGATCGACGGACTACTTTTCTAAAATCACATTTTAGTCACTGCTATTCACTATACGTCACCAATGTGTAAACACCTAAAGTCATAAACTGTTATTCTAACCTGAATACTAAAAAAACGTATCGGTAAATCATCGCGTACTGCACGGAGGAAATAATAGTTATCGAATGGAATTAATATTATCGGCAAAAATAGCGCTTAAATCAACACTGCAAGATAACAATATTAGGTATATTAACCTACTTCCAGAGTATTGTTCAAACCCGTATTCCCGCACTTACCGGTGTGTTCACCGTGCTAATTGCCCCAAATAAACCGAGTGGCACGAATAGAATACATTTTCGGGTAGTCTGAAATAATAAATCACAACGGCCCGTGATCCCGGGCTTTTGAAATAATTTGAACATTGAACCGTATATTTATATTTCAATCATCCCGCCGGTATAATGATAATATATTCGACCGCGTTTTTTACCCGCCGTGGCTTATTCTATCAAAATATTATAAAGAGAAGATATCGGGAGGGTGCAATATAGTTACCCCCAAACCTCCCTCTCCACTATTATGGCGCGGCCGTTATGTGCGTTGTAATAATATATATATTATATAGGTGTATACCCCATCAACCAAGGCAGACACCGTCTTTAGCGATGGAATGATAAAATATATTCTACTCACGACCACACATTGTGGCCACAAGAATATATTTGCAAGATTGGTCGTAAAGTTTGGCGGTTCTATGTAATAGACATGCATACCGTAGACGATGTCTTTATAGGCAGCATTAGACCTGATACCTGAGGCCTACTTGTACGGACGACGACGGATAAACAATATTCATAGTACGCGTACGTGCGTCGGTTTATTCCCTCTCACTATAATAATATTATACATTATAAAAGCTCACCCGGACTTGCGTGTTTTTTCGAAATTACGGTCGTGCCAACCAGCACTCCGACCCCCAAACAACCTCCCCCCCCCCCACACACACAAACTCAACCAGCCGCAGTCATCCGACGCCCCGTGTACAGGGTGAACTTTTTATGAACGATCGAACGTACCCCATGCAGCAGTGGCTGATGCACCGTGATGCACATTGAGTACTCGCTGCACACGTGCATCGAACTATAATATATCGCTACATCGTCGTCTGAAGTGCACCGAGCGCATCATATACTTACCGAAAAAACAATTCCTCAACATTTTCCGAGGCCACTTAAAACTTAGGCCATGCAAATTGGAATCCAGGGCTGTGTCTCGCTGCAATCGACTATGTCGCTATGTCGCGCTAGCCGTTCGGTCGCGCGGTGGCTGCGGCGCCTAGCGATTCGCGTTACGATCGAGCGGGTCGGCCGCGATACCGTTCATCCGGCGGCGGTGATGGTCATCTCCCGCGCGTTCTCCGGCAACGGTAACGGTCGGTAACGCGCGCGCGTACCGTTACCGCGGGCGTCGTATATATGTATGTGCGACGACGAAGACGACTGGTGAGACGCGTCAGCGGGATACCGACGGGATCGCGTGGCCCGTGGTTCGAAGGTGCGCGCCGAAAACAGCGAATAAGGGAAAAGAAAAAAAATCAATTAACGAATGCGACCTGAGTGTGACGACGGCGGCGGCGGCGGCGGCGACGGCGGTACAACACCATGGGCGGAGGTGGTTCACACACTCGCGCTCGTGGGCAGGGGGAGGGCGCGACAAGGCAGCCGGCCAGCCGGACGGACGGACGGAACAGACGGACAGACGCGCTCGCTGGTACGATTTCTGCGAATGTTTTTGGGGGCCGCGTTAGGCGCGCTCACTCGGCCATCGTTCGCTCGGCGACTGAGCTGCTTCTGGGCGCCCACCAGCTAAGCGGCGTTCGGCGACGCCGCCGGGATAATGCGCTCTCACCGCCCGCCCGCCCACAAACATGCCCGCCCGCCCGCCATAGCCCCTTCCAACCGCGCGCGAGCGTCGGTGGCGCCGCCCGTGGTGGTCGCGCGCGCGCCGCCGAGGGGAAGACGGCCGCGCTCGTATACCCGCCGAGTGCGTGTGGGTGTACGTATGTGTGTGAGTGAGCGCGCGGTGTAACGTTGGTGTGGGTGTGCGGCGTGCGCGTCGGGGGTCTCTCATGCGCTTATCTCTGCTCCGGCTGTGGCGCTTACGTATATATATATATATATATAAACGTATAAATACCCCGTACGCGCCTGACCTTAACCCACCCCTGTCCACCGCCGCCGTTCGAATTCGGTTTTCCCTCCCCACGGCGTGCCGTCTCGCCGCCGTCATCGCGCCTTTCTCGCTCGCTCCATATCGCTCGCTAGCCACCACCGTCGAACACCCTTCTCTTCCGAAACGCCGTTTCAACCCCTCGGCAACGTGTATATATAATATATATATATATATTATGTACCATAATATATTATATATATCGCGGTCTGCCAGCCAGCCAGCCAGCCACACGTCATAAAGGACATTGGATAGTAATCTTCGTCCCACGCTAAAAATGCCCACCCCATCCCGCCACACACTCCTATATGGCACTGAGGTTTCCTCACCTGCGAAAAACCGCGTCCACCGCACCAGATACGCGGATATAATTTATTATATTATAATATATATACGATTCCGCTGTCGAGTAAGTCTAATGTGGACTATATATATATATATATATGTATAGGTAGTATATTATATATATATATATTTATGCGTTTTATATACGTATTGGGGGTAATTAATTTAATTTTTTTTCCACGCCTTTTCCGCTGTTCGCTTTACGTCACGCGGTCTCTAATCTCTCCCCAGTCCGTGGTACGTCCCTACAGTGCACTTCTATATATATCTATTATATGCATACGACTTTTGTTTAATATACATTCCCCCCTGCCCCTGTCTTACAATTGGTGTGGGGGGAGGGGGGGGGGGGGGTAGTTCCGGGTAGCACAATATTCTGTAGAGGGTTTTATGCGAGTAACGCGACCTTTGACGCATATACTTAGACGCTACGCACGCCTATCTACACCCGCGGCCAGCGGCACACAATGTGAAAACAACTCGTCGTACAATGCAATCGACCCTCGTGGAGGTTTTTGTGTTTTATTCCTTCCTGCCATTATAAATAATCACTCAGAACTTGCTAGTTTAGACCCTCTGTCGATAACCGTAATTGATAATATTAAATCATATTGTACATCATATTCGTGCATTTTTTGGAAACAATTTGTAGGTATTATATTACGTTAACAGTATGATAACATTAAAATTCACACTATATAGTGTATACTGCAATATATTATATTGTATACATTGTATAGTGTTTGTCTATAATTTTACGAATGGTACTTCAAAAATCGAATCAACACAATATTGTCTTAATCAACATCAATTTTGGCTTCACATTTAAAAAAATTTCATAAACTGCACAACTCGCGTATAAATTATCACGAAAAGATAATATTATGTATAATTAAATAAATACGGATGAAAATGAAATAAAATACCACTGCAATTTTGCACAGCTGAAGTTGTAATAATTAAGTAGTAAACTTATAAAACATTTTCATCTATATAGATCACGTGTTTTGATTATCGATACCAAACTTTCACAAAAATAAATTAACTTATAAACAATATTTTTCCAGCTTCAAGAAATAATCAAAATTTGGCTTTGATGGAGGAATCACGAATTATTACGTATAGTGCTATATTTCGGTCACTCTCGTCGAAGTTAATGAACTTTGTTTGTCAACCCTATTCAAAAATTAAAAGGGCTGATGGTGAAATAAAAATCATTTAATTCAACGTCAAAGTTGGGTATGATTTTGAACTCGGGAAATCCGCTAAGACATAAATTATGTTATTATAATATATTATATTTATTGGGTAAAAAATCAGAGACATAATTACCCGAAATAATTGAGTAAAAAAAAAACAATAACATGGGTATACTTGTAATTTATTTAAAAGTTCAAACGGAGTACATTGTTATTTTAATTTATAGTAATTACTTGTACCTACATTAATTATTATGATAATAAATGTTGATACATCGATTTAATATGCTATATTAATATACATATATATATACTGTATATACTATACCTATAACATATTATTATTATAATTTGTAAATGTTCAATATGTCTAATTAGTGCAAGTTACCTAACTTAATTGAAAAATAATACGTACTTCACAAAAAATGTACTTGCACCTACGTGGTAACATATTATATTGTGCTAGTATAATTACTAACAATTTTTTTTTCATTTATGACGAAATAAAATTGTCACTATTCTTCTATTATTTGGTATATGCAGTGGCCCATGCGTATTGTTTCTAAATAATTCAATTCCAAACTTTACAAAAGAAATTGCTTATCAGTTTATCACAGTATACAAATGTATAAATATTTTTTTTTAAATATAAACTCCACGAATCAAAACAATGTACATATCATATAACAATACTCGCAAAATCGACTAACTTTTAAAATATTTTTTTTAGAGGGGAGCCATCTATTCTAGAATTGAGAAATCGCTCAACACATGTAATGGATAATATGTGTAAACATTTTTTAATGTGACAACTAAAATTTATAAAATCTGAAACAATAAATTGTTATTAAATATTTTTTCTTATAAATTAAAAAATAATGTACTTACTACATATTTTATAGTAAATATTATATTCGGCATATAATTGATTAATGAATCAGTATAGAATTACATAACTATTTAATGAATCCATTAAAACTAAACTACAAGTTCGACTTAGGGTTCAAACGACTCCTGCTTGTATTAATTTATAGTCTTTGTCATAACTATTATTATTCATATGTTTTCTCTAAAATCAATATTTTAATTTGGAAAATTAATGCTACGTGTTAAATTTATTCTAAAATTATAATTTACTTTCTCGACTTTTCATCATATTACTGTCGATCAGTAATCCAAATATAACTAAAATAAATCAAGAATATTTTAAGTTACGTAGGATATATTACACAAAAGCATTATTTAAATAACAATGTATAAAATAAAAAAGATTTTTCACTGACATGATATTATTGAAAAAAAAAACCATGAAATTGGGAATGCAGCAATTACATGTTTAGAAAAAATTAGCACAATTTACAATTGAATTATTAAAAAAGCAAAAAGTTTAAATGGTAGTTACAACTTAAAAATAATATAATATATTCGATGATCATGAAGGCTTTAAACATTAAGGATAAGTACTGATTTCAATTCCATTGCCCATGATTAGGTGTCCGAATTGTATTTGCTCAAAACTGTTATACACTTATATCTGAACACGCTCGAGTACCTAAAATAAGGACATGTCGCTAAACATAATATATATATATAATATATATTAAAACATTTTTTTTCTCTTTCTCTTGTAAACCAAATGTATACTTGTCTTGTTTGTGTACAAAATGACTCAGTCCGTGGACCATGCGCGCATATATGAGTATATTCCAAAATAAAATGCGACAGTCTTTCGAATCGCGCTTTGTCTTTAATTTGCCATTATCTAAACAATTATAAAAGTCTTAACCGCGTGCATATACGTAAAAAATACAAATAGGAGGTACAATAATATTATTCATACACCGCATCTGAAATCGGCTGATAAATCGGGCGAGACATTATGTTATAATTATTATATTTTTAATTCACATATTTGTACTGTCCTAACGAATACCTATTCGCGGGAAAAATGTGAATTAAAAGGTTTTCATACCGAAAAAGGTATACGCAATCGATATACACGTGCGGCAATGGCGGCGAATTAAATCTTTAAATTTCGATTCCTGCGAGCAATCGTCGTACTTATAAGTCGTGTTTTGTTTTTTATTAGGAGTGGTTCCATATATATATATGGATATATATATATATGTCCGCAGCAGTGTTTCACGTATAGTAATATAAGGCAACGGGCAATGTCAAGCGACGTTCTACTGCAGTGATGGATCAGGACGTCGTTTAAGTACTACCCGAGCTAACCCCCTTCTTGACCTATCGATTTATTATATAGGATTTCCTGCACAGAATAGACGCCTGCGGTGAACATTATTTCTTGTTGTTGTCTTCGATTGTGATTTCGTTAGTTTACCGGTTTTTTAAATCTGTCCGTGCCATTTTCTAGACGCATACTATCCGCGTGCTACACAATATGTACCGCCGCCGCCGCTTTATTTATTAGATAAAAACAAAATCCCATCATCAAAGTACAGTTTCCCGATCGCGGTTATGTGCCGCACACAGGTACCTGCTCGCGGGGTTTCATTCGTCAGAGGTTTTTATTTTTATTTTTTTTTTTGTGACTGTCAGTATATATACATCTTTTTTTACCTCGTCTCTTATAACATGTATATTTATTTTATAATATATACAACGTCGACGCTCCGTACACAATGGAAACTTCCATTATATTTTATTGTAAACACGACGCAACAACGTTAACCGCACATATTATTATGTACAGGGTTGAAATATAGTATAATTATTATTGAGTTGTAAAAAAAAACGCAATGAAAACATTTCTAAGCCCGTATTCGTTGAAAAACCTCAATATACCCCGGTAGGCCACGGGCAATCATTATTTTTCATTATTTTATGATATTACATTAATAAATTATATTAAAATTTATTTGAATTTGCTAAACAGGCGGGTCTAAATAAAACACACACAATAAGTAAATTGCACCAATCGTTTTACATAATACATCGAGTTTTGGCATCATCTACGATGTGAATCATTAATTTATGATACTCAAATTATGTTATTATTTTTGTCAACTGTTTTTTATAAACGTTTCTAAATGTAATAGATTAATATTACAACTGCAAGCAAA